TGTCTCAGTTTCCCCCCACTCCAGACAGTTTCATCTCATCTTTATTCTCCGACTCAATAATCATATATGCCTTAATATTAAACTTTCTACTACAAATAATTTTTGTTCACATTACCTCTAAAGTCAGCAAATTCCGAACTTGACATTCAACCATTCTAAATTTCCCCAGTTACAGTGCCACCCAACTTTTGCCCGGTGTTTCTCTTTCTCTAGACTCTTGGCTCAAACATTAATCTTGGTTTTTCTATCCCAGCTTGATTCTTTCATCAAACCTTTAACCCTATTTACTTTTTTCCTCGATCTACTTTACACAAATTAATACTTCACTACTTCCTTGTTTGAATCACAATCACTTCCATGGCCCAATCTACCATCAACCCCACTTCTTTCACTTATCCCCTTGTCCAAGACATCTACGATGTTGTTCCACGACCACATACCCAAGAAATACCAGCCCGTGTCGGTGTCTCATCAGCTCCAAATGCCCTTAGACTGGTTCAAAACGTTGGCAGCATCAATCCCACTTTTCCAACTCACCCTTTTCTGTTCACGATCCCTGGAAGCTCAAAGTCGGCAGCCGAGGAATTTGTAAAAGCAATGACGGCAACAGTTCGATGGTTTCTCCAGAGGGGTACCCCGACTGCATCTGAGAAGTTGAACAAATTGCAAGGCAGTGGTCGCCGTCCGGAGGCTTTCTTCAAGCTCGAGTACCAGTGCCCATGCAGTGGATATTGCAAAGGCACCCCCAACTCACGCAAGAAGAATCACATATCAGCTCGGTGTGGATGCAAGGCCCGTTTCTCAGTCAGTCACCATATTCAATCAAACACCCTTCGAGTCATATGGCACTGGCAACACAACCACGACCTCAATTCTCATCAGCAGATGATTGTTACCCGCCCCCCACTTGTTGTCGATCAGTGGCTTAAGGACCGTGTTGACTCAGGTCTCAAGTGGAGAGAAATCTACGATCTCACCCAGGTTGATGATGTGTTGGATGTGAGTAGTCATACTCTCTTCTCTTAACACGCCACCTGATAGCAACTGACCAATCTTTCCAAATATGGTTTCAGCTGAGGTCATCAACTGTCATCCCAGAGTCTCATGGTGTCACTTACCCCGAGTTCGCTACCTGGTACAAACTCGGATGACCATCCCTTCTCAGCTCAACCGTGATCCCCTCCAGTCACTATTGATTTGGCTAAACAACCTGACTTCCAAACATTGGAATATGCATGTTAACATTGTCGACTCGACCGACTTCATCTTTGCATTCCAGTCCCCATGGCAAAAAAAATGCTAATTGAACACGGAAGCAGTATGCTCATGCTCGATGCTACTCACAACGGTCAAACAGATATTAGCTGAGTATTGATATTGGGTGGTATTGCCTATGAATACCACCCAATATTTGGGCTAAGTATAGTATTGGGCCCTTGGCCCAATAATTTTTATTCGTGGGCACATGTATTGGCAGCCAATAAAATAAACTTTATTCATCATTAATCTATTGGCTCGGCCAATAAAATAAAATAATATACTTCAAAATTATCAGTGTGGATTTCAAAAACCTGTTTTTATTCTTTTTTATTCTTTTTCTTCTTTTTTTTTTTCTTTTTTTTCATTTTTTCATTTTTTTCATTTTTTTTTTTCATTTTTTTTCATTTTTTTTCATTTTTTTTCATTTTTTTTTTCATTTTTTTTCATTTTTTTTCATTTTTTTTCATTTTTTTTCATTTTTTTTCATTTTTTTTCTGGTTTTTTTTTCATTTTTTTTTCTTTTTCATTTTTTTCATTTTTTTTTTCATTTTTTATTCTTTAATTTTTATTCTTTTTTCTTCTTCTTTTTATTCTTTTTTTTTTTACTTTTTTTACTTTTTTTGACTTTTTTTGTCTGTTTATTTCATATCATTTTCTTACTTTTTTCTTTGAGATTTCCCGTCTATCCAATCCACCATCCATGGTATTCTTCACATGATACTATGATGATTGGCTTTCATGGCTTGTATGCTTCTAATTGCACCAACATGCCCCTCCCCTTCTAACATTCATCATTGCAATCCACTTTGATGTCACAAAAAAACAATCATTATTGCCCTTTGCTGGCTCGCTAGGGTCAATTCAAGCCTCAGATTGCCACTAATCTCCCATTTGCACCTTGATATCCTCTATTCTGAGCACACATCATAGTTGAATCATAACAATCATCAAAGGCTGACCTGATGTTTGCCCTTTTATTTTTTTGTGGGTGGATCGGTGGAACAGCTAGTCCAATGGGCTCCACTCTCATTAGTGATGGAATATATCTGATTGATCAAAGAGACAATGATGGTCAGACTAGAGATAGATGAAGCAAGTCCATCTAATTTGCCAGTACCATTCAGCCCACAACTGCGGATGCCGAAGGCCAAGCACAAGCCCTGATTATTTGAACAGTCTCCCCTGCTCCCCTCTGCCCTAGACCCGACTTCCTCTAGAGATGGCCGCTTTGCATCCGGATATCCGGCTGCTTTTTCTAGAGAAACCGGCATCCGCAACCGCATCCACATCTGCAAGCGAGTATCCCCCCACCTTAGCGGAGTATCCCCGGATACCCGCCCTTTAAAGAGCCGGCAAGAGGACCAGCTGGAAGGGTTTCCTTCCAGACGGCGAGCCACATGCTCAACGGCTGGAAGGATTTCCTTCCAGCCATCAAGGCACATGTACCTCGTCAACTGAGGAAACCCTCCGGTCGACGAGGTACATGTATCTTGCTGGCTGGGAGGGTTTCCTTCCGGTTGACAAGGTACATGTACCTTGTTGACTGGAAGTATTTTTTTCTGGCCTCGGGTATCCTTTGGGATACCCGGATACCTGCCAGTGCCGCTGAAAAGGGGCCATCCGCACCCAAATCTGCACCCGCTGGCGGGTATCCGCCAGGGGATAGCGGGTATCCGCGACGGATACCCTTTGGCCATCTCTAACTTCCTCCACTTACAAAAAAAAAGAACGAAAGAAAAAGAATAAAAAGTAAAAAGTAAAAAAATGAAAAAAATGAAAAAATAAAAGAAAACAAAAATGAAAAAAAATGAAAAAAAATGAAAAAAATGAAAAAAAAATGAAAGGAAAAATGAAAGAAAGAAAAAAAAGTGAAATTATTGAATACCTGCGATACTGTGCCAATATTTTATTTTATTGGCCAATACAATATATTCAAAACAGATAAAATTTATCTGTTTCCAATAAAATACAAATTTATTTTATTGGCAAACAGATATAATATATTTATTAAAGATACTTTTTATCTGGACACCAATACAATATAAAATATTGGGCAATAATTTATTTTATTGTATATGTTTGACCGTTGCTACTCACAACACAGTCAACAACCACTTCCTTTCCAATGGCAAGAAAGTCAGCCTGTATACTTTCTTGATTCGCGACCCCATTGTTGGAAAAGGCCTTCCAATCGCTTGGGCTTTCACTGCCTCTGCTGCCGAGTAAGCAATGCATCGTTATGTCACACACCCAATCAAAAGCTAACATAAAATTCCCTCTCCGAGGAAACCACTAGCGGTAGTCCTCCAATGGCTCTGAGACTC